ACTTTGAATATTCTTCTCCAGCACAATTCAAATGCTTTAGTTCCTCTTCAGTTTTCCTTATTGAATGTCCAACTTTCCCATGCAAATAAGGCAATGGAAAATACCATGGGTTGGATCAAGCACACCTTCTTCCTCCAAGTAGCATCCTTGCTTTTCAGTACTCTAAAAAGTTCTTGTGCAGCAGATTTACCTAATGCAACTCATCTTTTGATTTCTTGACTGCTGCTTCCATGAGCATTGAGTGTGGATCCAAGCAAGACAAAATCCTTGACAACTTCCAACTTTTCTCCATTTATCAAGATGTTACCTAATGGGCTAGTTGTGAAGAATTTGGTCTTCTTTACATTGAGTCATAATTCTTACTGAAGGCTGCAATCCTTGATCTTCATCAGCAAGTGCTTCAAGTCCTTCTTACTTTCAGCAAGCAAAATGGTGTCATCTGCCTATTGAGGGTTAAGAAGCCTTCCTCCAACCGTGATGTCACATTCGTTTTCATATAAGCCAGCTTTTCTGGTTGTTTTCAGCATACAGATTGAACAAGTATGGTGAGAGGATACAATCTTGGCAACACCTTTCCTGATTTTGAACCGTGCAGTATTCCCTTGTTCTGTTCACACAACTGCCTCTTATTCTATGTACAAGTTCATCATGAGTACAATGAAGTGTTCTGAAATTGCCATTCTTCTCAAAGTTATCCATAGTTTATTATGGTCCACAGGTTAATGCCTTTGCATAATCAATAAAACACATGAAGATCCTGAAGGCTCCAGTCCCACAGACTTTACTTGACTCACATAACCATGGCCTACTCCGCTCAGAGAAATCAGCTTCTCCTCATCACAATTTGAGTGCCCTCAGACCTGTGGGGTTCATCGTCTGGCACTATCTCCAACAATGTTCTGCTTACATTCTTTAGGCTTTCCGTATCTGACAATGTTTCGAAGCTATGCCTAATGTTTTCACCAGCTCTTTCCTTCGAAGTGGGGAGCTGAGTCCTTCTTTGTTGTCTGTTCTTAGTCTGGAAGCTCCGCTGAACCTGTTCACTATGGGTGACCCTGCTGGCACTTGAAATAACAGTGACATAGCTTCCAGCATCACAGCAACACATATGCCACCACAGTCCGACAAACTGACAGACAAGTAGTGGACGAAGACATTGGGAGTAGCACAAGAATTAAAGGCAGTAAAGGTAAATAGTATTATATACCCAATCTTCTATTATCAATAATAACAGTAATCTATTGGAGGGGACGTAGATAATTAAACTAAGCAAGGGTGGGAAAGTGCATGAGCCATGACTATACTAGTATGGGTTTGACCAATATTTTAACATGTGTCTTTAAATGTGCTATAAATATATCCTTGAAAATAGAGCACTAAAAAAACCCCACTGCCTGGTTAAATTATAATAAGTAGCTAAATTATAATAACTTCTTAGTCAGAAACAAACACATGGGAATGAATTGCTGGGCCCTGGGGTTCAGGGCCATAGTCTCAAGAAACAGCAAGGTCAATTGGCATAACTTGGTCCACAAAGACAATGTTCTATATCCTACTTTGGTGAGTAGCAGCTGCAGTCTGAAAACTTGTGAGCTTCCATTAAAGTTGCAATTAGTGAAAGATGCAAGGAAACAGTTTGTTCATCATCCAATGGACTGATGAACCGTACTTCAATGATCCTGAGATAAAAAAAGTAGATGGTAATCTTGCTACCACTATGGACCACTCTATGAATGGGATCTTAAAATGAGGTTCTGGATAATGTATGAGAAAAATGTGGAACAATACTCAAAATAATAATAAAAAAGACCCCAGAAGATGGACAACAGAAAAGTGGGCAAAGGGAGACGTCAAACTGTGTGAGATATGACAAAATAATAATTTATAAATTATCAAGGGTTCATGAGGAAGTGGGGAGTGGGGAGGGAGGGGAAAAATAAGGAGCTGATACCTAGGGCTCAAACAGAAAGCAAATGTTTTGATAATGATGGCAACAAATGTACAAATGTGCTTGACACAAGGAATGTATGTATGGATTGTGATAAGAGTTGTACGAACCCCCAATAAAATGATTAAAATAATAATAATAATAAAAGACAAAGTTTACTGGTCATGTAAAGACTGGTGGAAGCCCCAAGACATGGCTAGCCCATGAGTACCCTTGAGGCCTGGAATGAAACTCCACTTTCAGCCAGATGATAGAACTATAAAGTGAACAATAACACAGAGGATACACTACTCTTTTATAACAATAATACTCTCCCTAGGACAATCCTTTATATTAGATCCTTAGTACTTGCTCAGGGACAAAGCTCAGAAGGCAGGAAGGGATAGGAATTAAGAGTGAATGGGAATGACGAATATGGAGAAAGTAGAAAGGGTGTTGTTTCATTGTGAAAATTGTAATATCACAAATCAAAATGTGTATGGACTATTGAATGATAAACCAATTTCCTGTAGAAACTTTTACCCAATAACATTAAACGTAAAATAAATAATAGGAAAATAAAATTGTAACAAGATACATGTAACAATAATAAAAAAATACCAAGGTTCTAGCAATAAACTTTCAAAAGTTGTATAAATCCCTTATGAAGAAGACTACAATTTCACTAAAACATTAAAGAAAACTTAAATATATTGCTATAACAAGTTGGAAGTCTTTTTACTATAACAATTCCTTAAATATTGATAGATTCAATGGAGTCAAAATCCCTACAGGGTGTTTGCTTGTTTTTGTTTTACATAACTTAATACTAGAAAAATAAATATGAACGAGCACAGAACCAGTAATAGTCATGATACGTGTGATGAACAAGAATGGTTGTTTTATATATCAAGAAGTAATCCTTATTATGATATTTATAAGCTGAGATAAGAAAGCTCAGGGGTGGAAGCAGATAAATGAATCATTGTGATAGCCCAGTAAAACAAAATCTCATGAACATGTAATTTAGACAGAGCGGGAAAAATGAACTCTTTAGTACATGGTACTGGGATAATTAGTTATTTATGTGGGATTGGATACTTATTTTATACCATATGGGTAAATTGGTCCCTAATGGATGATACAACTAAATGTGAAAGGCAAAATTATAAAACTTATAGAAGTTACAATAGAGTAATACTTTTTAGGCCAGAAAGGAAGGACAGAAAGCACAGATGACAAAGGAAGATAATTGATAATTTTTACTTACATTCAAGGTAAGAAATTTTGCATTTAAAGGCACCATGGGCGTATAAAAAAGTGAGGCTACAGATTGAGAGAAGATATTTGTAACACAATGAAAGACTTACTATCCAGAATATGTAAAGAACCTCTCTAAAAACTCACTGCAACTCATAGTAACCCTGTAAGATAGGTTAGAACTGCCCTGTGGATTTCCAAGCCTGTTTAACTGTATATGGTGTAGAAAGTTTCCTTTTTCTCCCACAGAGTAGCTGGTGGTTTCAAACTACTGACCATGTGGTTAACAGGCCATATGTAACCACTACTACCAGGGCTCCTTAACACAAGTCAATCAAAAGAAAAACAAATCTCAACAGTGGAGAAAAGACTCCACTAGACACTGTAGGAGAGGAATCATGTGACTGAGAAAATACACTGGATACACAGAACAGTTGGAAGTTACAAACTGTTCTGCGGTAGAAAGATGTGGCAGTTTGCTTCTGGGAAGATGTACAGCCTGGAAACTATAGGATTAGGGCAGTTTTACTCTTTTCTATTGGATCCCTGATTCGGAATCAACTGTAAGGCAGTGGATTTCTTTTGTTGTTTGGAGTTCCCCCACTGTCGTAAGAGTACTAGTTGGTGCAAGCACTTTAAAAATCATTCTGGCATTACTTGATAAAAGTGAAGATGTTGGAAACCCAACAATTCCTGTGAGTGCGCAGATGAGAGCATGGGTACAAGTGTGCTTGCCCACCAAAGTTTATGAAGTAAGCAGGGGGTTAGTGTCCTCCAAGAGAGGGTGAGTGTCCTGCAAGAGAGTAATTAATTTTGATTTTTTTTTTTAGTCGAGCATTATTCAGCAGTCAAAATGTGTAAATTTCAACTGATCACCATGATAAATTTCCCAAGTAAAAGGTGGAGTAAAGGGCCAGGCATAGTGTTTCATTTGATACTAAAAGTTCAGAAAGTACATTCAAGTCACCATATACTCTGTTACTTGAGGGAGAAAGAAGGGAATGACTAAGACAGAATTTTTGGTGGGGCAGAGGCACCCCAAGAAAGGCCCACAAGGGCAGCAGTGGCTCCCGTGTTTTCAGACTGCTGTGGGTAGGCCAGAGGCGTCTGTTGCGAGCGCAGCAGTGGCACAGGTCTATTTCTACAGATCTAAAGTGAGAGTCCCACTACTACAAGATTTATCCATAGTGTAGTAGATGAATTTAGGTGTTCTTTCTGGTTCTTTAAGAGAAAAATGCCCTCTGTGACCCTCTGAATTGATTTTGTAACTCGTTGTTTGAATGCGTTATATAGTGTAAGCTGGGTAGTAAGTACACAGGAAAAATGCCCTCTGTGACCCTCTGAATTGATTTTGTAACTCGTTGTTTGAATGCGTTATATAGTGTAAGCTGGGTAGTAAGTACACAGGTTATTTGTTCTGTTGCTGTTTCTTTATAAAGGACTCACACCTTTTCTTCACATGCATTTCAGAAAGAGAAATCACTCCGGGGTGTTTTTTTCAGGAAGTGTAGCATGGGTGACCTTGTTCTTCCAGATGGGAAGAGCCTGCAGATACCCCACTGGGTCCCACTGGAGTGAGATCTAACTCAGAGGACAAAAGGCTTGAGGAGGTCCTCTGTGAAGCCATATCCTTTCTGGCCCCTTACCGGGGAGGGTAACCCACGCTGTCAGGGGCTGCGGCTCTCTCACTGTCCAGCTTTGGGCTCTAGCTCTGCCTAGCACTCCTGTAGGGCTCACAGCATTCTCTCCCTTCACTCACCTAATCTGCCTGGAATGTTCTAGGGGCCCCTCTGAGCCCTTGGCCTCTCCACAGGTGCCAAGCCAGGGGCATCTGTCTATCCATGGGGACTGCCCACGGAAGCCAGCACACATCCAGTCTCCAAGGACTCAGACCCGTGGGTGGTTCCACAGCAGCCAGCCCTGAGTTCCAGGACAAGAACCTCTGACACCTGGGATACATCTTCAGCTGCCAAGCAAATGTCTGCCTCTGGTAAGATAGTAACCCCAAGTGCCCAAGTATAGATGCCTGGTCGTGTAAGCTGGCAAAAAGTCACAAGCCGCCTGGGAATGTTCTTGAGTGGTGTGGGAGAGCAGGCTGTGTTGGGCCCTACTGCTTTAGCCTTCAGGCCTGCCATCACACCCAAGAGTCCAGAGCAAGCTGGGTTCAGGGAACTTCCCACAAACCCTAATCCAAGCTTCTGGGCCCAGCTCAGATGTACACCTCTACCATTTGTACCTTCTTAGTTTAAGGGCTTGCTAGAGGCAGTGGTGGCATGTGCCCCATATTGTGTTCTGAAGCTATGTCTCCAGCCTGGCTTTCCTGGTCCTCCTAGCCTTTAGATGACCCAAAGCCAATCCTGCCCTCTGCTCCCCCAGGGTTCTTCTCCTAGGTGGGGGTAGAAATGTACCTCCCTGTTCACTCCAATGGGGCAAAGGCCTCCTGTCAGGCCAACCATGACTGTGTGGACTGGGACACTGAAGCCCAGAAGCAACCTGACACACTCCATCACTGCCTCTCATGTCTGCTAGGGTTCTTTGATCTCTTCAGTAATCTGAATGGTACAAATAAAGATGACTTCTCTGAATTTGACAACCTCCGAACTTCAAAAAAAACAGGTATGTAAAGATGATAGTGATTTTCATAACATTATTTATTTCAGCTTCTGTTTTTTGTTTTAATTTTTATTTCAGCTTCTTATACTACCTCAAAGTTCTCATCTTGGGAGCCATAATCTTCTTGCAAGATTCACATAAATAATAAATCTGTGCTGGAGTTTTCTTTCAGTTTTTCTGTTGGACCCATGCTTCCTGTTCCAGCCACCTCTATCTTGTCACTTAGGTAGATGCCTCCTGGTGTGGCATACCAGGGTTAGACCTTCGCCTCCCAACTTCCTGTTTCCCAGAGGTGTTCCCTTTCTCCAAATCCACCTTCCTTCTTTGGGTGCCATTGGGGTGGGGGTGCTGAGATAAAGGCCGGGTGGTGGTGGTGGTGGAGATGAACCTGGAGAGGCCAAGGATGTCTTTTACATGTGTTCTGTTGTGGCTCTGGGGACCACTGAGGCCTCTAACCATTCCAGAAGTGGTCACAGAACCACACCTCCAGTCGCATAGAACAACTCTTGCCTTTCACCACTTTCCCCCCACCATCCTACTTTCTTACTCCTGTCTTCCTCTTCCTCACCCTTCTCTTTTGACTCCCCAGCTGCAGCTACAGATCTAGCCAGTCCTGGTTTCAGGTATGAGCAGCCAGGCCCCAGATCATGCCTCATCTAGCCCAAGGGTGGAGGTCGGGGTGAGGGGTTCTCTGCCAGCAAGCCAGAGAAAGCTTGGAGAATGTATTGTTTGGGGGCGGGGGGTTTCTTTTGCCACATTAAAAACAAAACAAAAAACAGTAGTAAGATTCCATGTGTCTCCGTCATAGGCTTAAGTATAACCTAACTGTCCTTGCCTGCCTTTCATACTTCTATGTGAAGGGTGCTCAGCCATCGCTACAAGAACACCTTTCTGGGGTTTGCAATATGACTCTACAATTATAGATATATTCATATTGTGAGAAATTTGGAAAAGATAGTAAAGTTTGAGGAAGAAATGGAAACTCCTCTATAATCGTACCACCTAAACAGTCTCTGTGTTTACTTAATGCCACTTTGTGTAACTCAGAAGGACTCAGTTGGTGATTTTTTGGAGGATATTTTCGGTTGAGTTCAGATATTGCTAATGTAAATAATGCTGTGGTGAGCATCCTGGGTACATTATTTCCTTAGGCTAGATTCCTAGAAATGTGATTACTGAGTGAAGAGTAGGACATTTTAAGGATCTCTATGCCCATCATCATGTTGCATTCTACCAAAACAGTCATCTTCCTGCAGACCCATCTCAGCATACCCTCTGTTGGCTGACTTAAAAAATAATTTGCTTTCTTTTTATTATCAAGAAACCAATGTTCATTGTAGAAAATATGTAAAATGCAAACATAAAAATTATAAATTGCCCATGTCTGGCCACCAAACAAAAACATCTTCATGTTTTTGGAAGATTGTCCTATACTACTCTCTTATAAATTCATTTAATACAGTGTACTTTCCTCATCATTAATCTCCTTGGGAGCTATAGTCTTACTGGCTGCTTGGTGTCTGATTCTTTAACCCACCTCAAGGCCAGTGGCTTTGTCTTCTGTTTGGGACTAGAGCATCAACCCTGCAATGAACATTCCCATCTCTTGCACATCCACATGGGGCTCCTGTGGAGCTGTTGGTTAGAAGGCTGTTGTATGTGGCTTGGGATGCATGTGGGGTGCAAATGTGATGCCTCACGCTCCAAACTCTCATTCTCTAGCTCAGTGTGTTTGTATGTCCTTTCTTGTCTTGCAGCTGAGTCCGCGGCTTCTCTACCATCCCTAAACAACAGAACCATCAGCCCCGACCCTTTCGACTCTCAGTCCCTGACCATTGCCTCCAGCAAGCCCAGCAGTGCCCAGAAAACTCCTGAGTCCTTCCTGGGCCCCAATGCGGCCCTGGTGAACTTAGATTCACTGGTGACCAAGCCCACCCTACCAGCCCAGTCCCTCAACCCTTTCCTGGCACCAGGTATGCACTCTGCAAGGGGTTCTTTGACTTCTGCCTTACTCCTGAAATCCTCTCCTCTCTTTGATGAGTTCCTCAGAGGTCCTCCTGGTATGGTGAGGGGGCAGCCTCACAGCTAGGAAGGAATGGAGGTGCCAGGATGGGCCCAAGGTCATGGAGGTAGGAGGAAGCTATGAGTTAAGGGGAAGGTATGAGCAGAAGCACCCCTTCTCTCAGTTGAGAGTTCCCTTAAGCTTAGAGCCTGACACGGGGACTCAAGTGACATCTCTGAGCAAGCTAGGAGAAAGATGCGTATTGGAAGTAGGGAGAACCTTTTTTTGTTTGTTGTCCATGTCCACACTTTATAGGGGGAAAAGTAATTGAGCCTGATAACACAAGCTCTTTCACAAGAACCAAGCATCCACCCTTCTCCTGGAGCCCCACCTTCCCCCTCCAGTTCAGTCTAAAGCTCAGCTTTACTCCTTCCAGAGCTCTGTTGGTTGCAGGGAGTGCCCTAATCTCTTGATTTAGTGTGAGGCCACTAACTGCCCTGACATATTTTTATCTCAACCACAAGGAGCCCCTTAACATTCCCCAAACCGACTGTGTCTTCCTTCTCTGTATGCATACTGTTTCCTTTGTCTAGGAGGTCCTCCCTCCCTGAGTTCTTAAACACTCAGGTCAGATGACCCATACTTGGAAAACCCTCCAGCTCCTACAGATTCCTTCACAGCGCCTGGGTCTCAGAACATGGGACAGCCATGTCAATATGTGCATCACGGAGAAAACCAACCAAAACCAAATTCAACTACCATCCATTGGATTCCAGCTCACAGCAATACTATTAGACATACTGGAACTACCCCTTGGGGTTTCAGAAATCTTTATGGGAACAGAAAGCCTTACCTTTCTCCCACGGAAAGGTTGGTGGGTTCAAACTACTGACCTTACAGTTAGCAGTCCAACATGTAACCCACTATGCTATCAGGGCTCCTTGCCTAGGAAAGTAGGCTCTGAATAGCTGGGGGTGTGCATCCTGACAGAGGATGATGACTAGGCATCAGGTGAAGGTTGGCACTTTGAGGCTTCAAAACTGGAGCAGAGTGGTTGTTCCCATGGCAGGGACACAGTCGTCCTTTTCTCCTTGGAACTCTTCCTGGGGTGAAGCTAGATTGAAACCCAGGGCCCCAAGCTAGTGTTGGGCCTGTCCTTGCCCCAGTGTGGCTCCTGCCTTTGTCCAACAACCCATTGAGAGGTCCATAACCAGTCTGCCTGGGATTCTCCACGAGCACTATCAGGGTTGTAGGCAGCTTTTCAGTCTGCAAATAGCCTCTGGTCCCTGTGACCACAGGTGGAGCCATGACAGTGCTTCTATATCTCTGGGGCCACTGAATTGCCCAGGCTACACAGGCAATGCAGTCAGCTGTGGAATCAGAGTCAGATTGGCAGTCCTGGTGTTGATCATTTTTGGCTGGAAGCTTTCCAGCAAGTTACTGCTCTAACGGATGGTTACTTTGTTAAGGTTCCTTTGTGAGCTAGAGCCTCATCCTTGCTGTGGGTTACATTGGCAGCATTCTTAGGTACCTATCTGTATAAGCTGACCAGTACTGGCAGCTCTGCGTTTTTTGGAAGCATATCAGTAGATGCTTTGGCTAAAAGGAGGAAAGCTTTCTGAGGCAAGACATAGCTTAGAAATGCTGGTTAGACAAGGTACTCTCAGGTCTTTATTGTAGGGTCCCTAGGCCTGCAAGATTCCCACGTATAGCTCCTCTCTTATTTCCCATGCCCTTTTGGTCCCAGGGCACAGCAGCACTAGTAGGCACCATCTCTAGCTATTTGGTTGCTGGAGGGGTCATCTCAGGGGCTATGCAGCCATTGATGCCTCTTCAAGCATGTGGCCACAGCAAGTCAGGGACTCCACATAGCCATATCTCCTCATCCCAGTGGGGCTTCACTTTTTATGCAGGTGGTTGTAAGCATGTGCCTGGGCTTAGCACCACTGAAAACCCTGCAAGGACCATCCAAACCGTGGTGTCTGTGCTGGCGTGGGTGGCCCTCTGCTTCTCACAGTTTTGGGAACATGTTGTCATAACAATTCTGCCTACTGTGCTCTCTCTCCAGGTCTAGCAGCAGCCTCAGCTCCCATCAACCCTTTCCAGGTGAACCAACCCCAGCCACTGACATTGAATCAGCTTCGAGGAAGTCCTGTCCCAGCGCCCAGTACATCTTTTGGGCCCAGCCCAGCTGTGGATCCCCTGGCAAATACCACGGTCCCTGCAGCTCCACCCTCAACTCTGAGCAGCAGTGGTTCCTCATTGACCCCACTGGGCTCTGTAGCAATGAATGTGGTGGGCAACGCCAGCATCTCCCCATCCGCTGCAGCCCCAGCTTCTGGTACAACCAACCCTTTCCTCCTCTAGTGCACAGATGTAGGACTGCCTGGAGTGGTGCTTGAAACTTCTGTGCCCAAAGGTGTGGATGAGGACCGTGTGCTCCATGGACTGTCTATGAGCTCTGAAAGATAAGGACATCCCGCTCCAGATGCCAGAGAACTGCCCTTGCAATCCAGCTCTCTCAAGTTTCAGTCATTGGAGCTTCACACAACCCATGGGGCCTCAGTGCTCCTGTAGGCTGCAGTCTGCTCAGTCAGGGGAGGACCAGCTTGATTCAGCTATGGCTGCCTTCTCCCAAGCACCTACCCTGATACCACTAGGGATGTATCTGCTGGACTCCTTGAGGCCCTCTGAGGAGGAATAAAGTTGTCAGTGTTACTGAGCAACTCTTGGACCTTGGCAGCCACAGGCCACAGGCTGTGGCCTCATCTCTGCCCAGGCAGGCTGGGCATAGGTTGGAGGGAGCCTCTTGCCTGTCTGCAGACAAGGTGTCTTAGGAGTGGTTGTGCATATTTTACTTTATTTGACTCACTTGTGAGTTCAAATTAAGCACAATCACTGTGGGGCAACTCTTTAATTAAATCCACTACAGCAAGTTTTAAAACTAACCTGAGTATAACCCTGCTCTTTGGCTATATGCTTGTATACATTTGCACATATTTTGTTTAGTACAGTTTCATATTTGAGTTTGCAGAATTATCTAATAATCCTTTTTTGGCTAATATTTTTATAGTGTGGTTCTTATTTAATTGTCTAGTTTTGATATAATTGATCAGGTCTGGCTGAATTAAGATATTGGGCACGTTGTCATTTTAATAATTGAAATCCTCTTATTTATGGTTTTAACTCTAAGAAAATTGTAAAAGGAGACATTTGGGGTTGGGGAATGCCTTACAGAAAAACTAGAGAAATTTTTTCTGACTTTATAAGGGAAAAAATGAATTTGATTACATACAAAAGATTATGTTTATTTGAAAAAACCAAACCACAGCAACAAAAAAAGCTGGCTTCCAGTTGCCTTTTCTTTCATTCTTTTTTGGTGAATTCCCAAATAGATAAACTTTTAGCCTTTTTGGCTAGGTCCTGACAGAGAGGCTACTTTTCTTACTGACATGCCAATATCTGAAAGAGAAAAACAAATCTAATATATGAATGTGATTTACCAGTTTTTAATCAACTTTTTTTTTAATTAAAGGCATGCACAGATTAACGAGGACTTTTGTTTACCATGGAATCTGAAATTGCAACCTCTTTAACCCAATGTGTTGGTTGATGCTCGGGTTAAACACTCTCCCCCAGGCTGGGACAGGTTTGAAGGACCAGGCAGGCCCTGATCCTCCCATTTGCCCATTCCTAATACATGTTGTTGACTTAAAAATAATGTTATCTCTTACTTTGGAGAGGAAGGAAAATGGATTCCCAAACTGGGTAGATGTTTAAATAAGCATCATCATCTCCGTCTTACAGCTTCTTGCCTTCCTCATCCATGCCCCTACCCACATTCCCCAGTCAACATAAAGACATTATTCAGTCACATATTAAGATAACAGGAGGCCTGCTTCTCCCCACTTTAGCCCCTCCCCCTTGAGGAAGAGGCAGAGCTCTCCTTACCTTCTGAGGTAGTCTGACCCTCAGCATGGGTCACAGGTGAGCTTCAAAATGGTCTCTGGGCCTTGATTCAGAGTTGCTTTATCAAGCAAACCACCCTCTTAAAGCATGCATTATGTTAGTTCTCTTGAAGTTCTTTCCACCCATCACAAGCTGACCAGAGCCACTCTAAACTCTACCAGGTCACATTGCCTAGAGTTCCTAACCAAACCATCCCCTACCAATCCAGGGCTGGACTAAGGTGGCAGGGCTCCTGGCATTCTTCCTATCTGGTTTTGTTCAAGAATAGAGCATCTGGTCTCCTGCCTGGAAAGATGGGGGCACAGTAGGGTATGGGGTAGATTCCCTGAGAAGGTATCTTTACCCAAGTGGTATGGGACTTAGGCTGGCCTTATAGACTGGCAAGCCTAACTTGACTACTTGGGTTAACAATTCCATGGTAACAAGAATCTGACAGGGCTCAGAGGCCCCAACATCTTATTTATCATCTATTACTACTATTACCCTTCACCTGTCTTCTGTACCAGGTCCAGAAGCACACTGTCTCTATCCTTACTACACCGATCATGAGTGTACATAGCTGCTGATGTCCCCGATGAGCGTAGTGGGAGGATCCCCATGGGCCCCTCTGTACTAGGATCAGTAGCTGGCTTTGAGCTTGTGTTGACTTGATACTTTATAAAGAACCCACAGCCTACCACTTACAGACTGAATGTGTGACTATCATGAGCCATTGGCTCCTGACCGACAAAGGGACAGATCTGTGGCAACTGAGGGACAGAAACTTTCTAGACAGAAGCTAGGAGCTGGCAGGCTGGTAGAAGTTAACACAAGAGGCACAGACAGGATGAGGTAGATGGAGGGATGGCTAGAGGCCAGGAGAATCCTGAGCGTGGGTCCTCTGCTAAGCTGCCAGCACCACTCCTGGGCTAGCTCTGTAACTTACGTCCTATAAACCCCAAAGCTCGGCTCCTAATGTCCATTCGAGACAAGAAATAGCTCAATTGCTGGCTTGGAGGACTCTGGGCAGGCGCCAAGGAAACGTCCAAAAAGAGTTTGCTCTAAAGCATTGGGGGTTGATAGTAAAGGATGTCCTTCCAAAACAGGTCATATGAGAGAAAAGGAGGGGTGAGTTAACACCAGGTCCTGCTGCGGTAGCCAGCCTCCACATTTTGGTGCACTCACTAGACCCAGTGCCTAAGTAGCAGTCTTCCAGGCACAGCGGCTCAGGGACTAGGCTGTGTTTCTCTCATGACAGCCATCTTCAGCAAGTGGCTATGAAGATGGCTGTCTAAGGGCATGAAGGGTTGGGTGTACAGAAATTTCTGGGCCAGGCCTGGAAGGGTGTGCATTTCTTCCACAATACCCCAGTGTCAGCTGGTCCAGAGGCACCATTAAAGCACAAAGAGGGGAAGTGGAGATAAGTGGTCAGCACATGATCAACCGCTCACTGCCAAATATTTTGTTTAATTCCTCTACCCCTCACTATGCCATGCAGTCCATATGCCCTCCCCAAAAGGATATGTCCTAAGCACAGCCCTTCCCAACCCCCATCCCGATCTCTGCACCTAACTCATGTCACATTCTTTCTAAGGGGTGCACTGTCTGCTTCCACCTCACCCCTGGCTAGTACTGCCTGTATACTTCAAAGTCACCTTATCTCTGTCCCCAGTAAGTCATGGAGCAGGATGGGCAGCCACACAACAGACTCCATTTACAAAAGCAGTGCTTGTATTTGGCTACATGGAAAAGGTCCCAACTATGTGCCGGGGTGTTACTTTGTTTTCATTGGGGGATCACTTAAACACTATTCTCACTGCCCCAGACTCTCCCTTCTGGGGGACAGTTCATCTTTTTCTATGTCCCATGGTCACAGTGAAGGTGGGTACTAGAGCACTTTCCTTGGGACCCATATATTCCTCAGCTTGTGTACCTAGTGGACAGTTAGGGATCTGTGTTAAGTGAGTCAGAGACCTTAGTCCAGGCTCATAATTCTTTTGGGAAGATAATTCCCTCTTAAAGTTGATAATCTTGTCTCTTTACTGTTAATCAACTCTATGTGCAAATAATTGTCGTTAGTTGGGTTAGGCTGTCACTTGTTTGACCCTGTGTCCCACTTTAGTCTGCTAGAGTACATCATTGGAACATTAACAAGCAGAGGCTTGGGAAACCCTTGCAACCTGTGGCCTCTTTTCTTGGGGTGCTCCCACTAGGCATCCAGCTGTCATGGTATAAAAAGCCTGGCCACCTGGAGAGGCCATTCAGAGAATAAAGTGCTCTTGTCAGCAATTCCAGACAGGTTCTCAGACAACTGCCAGCCATGGCACATCCGAGTTGACACAGATTAATGTAGCCCCAGTCAACATCGTGGCACAATACCACCCAGCTGAGCCCAGTCACCCTAGAATCATGAGACATGGTGACTGCTTCAAGCTACAAAACTTTGGGGCACTTTGTCAAACAGCAATAGGTAATTTAAAACATATGCACGAAAAAATACTTCCTGGACATTAAAGGAAACAAAAAGTTGCCATCAAGTCCATTCTAACTCATGGTTGACACCATGTGTATTTTGAACTATGCGCTTGGGGTTTTCAGGGGCAGAATTTTTGAAGTACATCACCAGGTTTTCTTCCTAGATGTAAGTCTGCTTTACTTCCTTATTCCCAAGGACATCTGGAGCAGTGGCCTCCTTAAGGCCGAGTTAGGTTGTTCAAATATTTTTACTAGACTTTTATTGTTAAAGCATTGTTTAATTTTCTCTATTCCTGTTCTGAGTTCGAGACTCAGTCTTGCGTTTAAACTTTGGATACAGAAAATTCTTGATTCTTGTGTTTCATTCTGCTTTCCAAATGCAGCCGACAAGAACCAACACACATCGTTAACATCCTATCATCCTTTCACCTGATAGCTATTGTCTGGGTAGGCACATAAGCTGTCGCCCAAGTTAACACAAGTGATTTAATCTAATGTTTTATACATGGGTCAGCCAAGTCTACTTATATTTTTCTTCCCGGCTATCCAACTGCAAAAACATAAGTACTCCTGATAGCAATTTCCATGATCAGTTTCTGGGTGGTACAAATGGTTAACACACCTCAATATATCTCGAGAAGATCTGGTGATCTACTGAAAAACCAGTCATTGGGAACCCTGTGGAGCCAGTTGTGCTTTCACACTTCAGATCACCCATTTTCAAAATCTACTCCATAGCAACAGGTACCAATAGAATAGAATAGGTTATTTAGGAACAAAGAAGCCCCAGATTCACACACAATTTTCTCATAAATGTCTCATAGGGATATACCTGGCAGCACCCCTCCAAGAAGTTACTCAGTAATCCAGGCTTCTCCCTTATGATCCATAAGCCTATCATATCAATATCTAGCCCACAGGATGAGTGGAAAAATACGGACCTTCTGTGTGAGCTTTTTAATGAGTCACATCTAGAACATCTTTTCACCCTTAATTTCTTTGGCCAGAACTACTCACATAGATCCCATGATACAAGTAGTCTTACTGTTGTTCCAGGTGGAGAATGAAATGGTTTGGTGAACATACAGTTTCACCGTACACATTGATGACCTGGGACGTGACCTACGTCACACACCTCACCTGTTCATTAACTGGTCACTATGTCCACCTTTCTCCCCACTTACCAGGCACATACACAGATTTCGGCCTCAAAAGTTCCTAACTGTAGCATTGCTGTGGACCTTGTTAGAGGTTAGGTAAGCCTTGGTCCACACTAGCAGGGGCCACCTAAGATTGTGCATTTCAATTGTGTATGTCAACGTTACTCGGAAGAAAGCATAATGGAGAACAAAGACTAAACTCTAGTTAATGATAAGTACGCTGAAACATTCTGAGGGTAATATGCCTACCATTTCTTTTGAAATGCACAAAAAATAGGATGCAACAATGGAGTGATGGAAATATAAGTAATTAGATGGGGGCAGAGGGGGGGAATACATTAAAAATGTAATGGTAGGCTTAAGATAGTACCTGTGTGGCTGTTGAAAAGTTTTAAAATAAATTATTGCAGCAAAGTGAAGGGGTGACCCACTAAGCTGCAGTCGGTAGTGGATGGGACATCACTCACCTGTGAATGAAGGACAGGATAGGATAAGGGGTCAAGGGAGGGTCGGGGCACTGCTGGCATGTCTCAAAACTGACATCGAGTTGATTCCAACTCATAGTGACCTCTACAGCTCTTAGCAGGTAGAAATAAGGAAACGGACTGAAGAGGCACCTCAAGTTCCACAATAAGGGTTGACCAAGAAATGGAGTATTTTCTAGAGCAGTGGTTCTCAAGCTTCCTAATGCCACGACCCTTTAATACAGTTCCTCATGTGGTGACCCCCAACCATAAAATTATTTTGTTGCTACTTCATAACTATAATTTTGCTACTGTTATGAATTGGGCAACCCCTGCGAAAGAGTCGTTCGGCGCCCATTGGGGTCACCACCCTCAAGTTGAAAACTGCTGATCTAGAGCGGCTGGAGTTTTGTTTGTTGTTAGAGCAAGCCCACCACACCTGATTGATGTGAATGAGCCTGCCGAGGGGAAAAGACGTGCTTGAGAAATGCATATCCTATCCTTGAGAAGCCAGAGAGGTGGGGGGACTGCCTTATGCAGGATCAGAAATAAATAAAGAAATGTGGTACTGACATGAGGAACTTTTTCAATAGTTCCTGTTTCCTAGCTGCAGGGAGTAAGCCAAGGGTAGTAAGAGTAGTACTGATGTTCTGAAAAACAGCAATGTGGAAGCAATTGCTCAAAGAAGAGGGTGGGGTGGGGAGTGGCAGCATGTACTAGGACAGTGGGATTACCTGTAGAGTGGACACCTGAGGCCTGACCTGCAGACTGAGCAACAGGTGGTTCTTGTTATTATGTTTGGGTGTTGCCAGGTGAATATGGGGCTGGGGAAAAATACAGGAGTCTATGAATCAATGCATGTAAATGGTGACCAGATACTTCAAACTTGGCAGGGAGAAAAGGTCTGGTGGTAGGTTGGTGTCTTGGCTTTTTGAAAGGAACAGTGTAGTGTGGAGAGGGCACCCAGAATGAAGAGCCCAGTGTGGGGAGGTGATGATCTGGTTGGGGATGCCCAAGTCTAGATTCTGGAGGCAACTGTCACTAGAAATGAGTCCGAACACAGAAGTGGGTAGCTGTTAAGGGGTGGAGGCCAAGTTCTATGTGGACAGTGATGTGGCCAGTAGTCAAAGGTAAAGATGGGGCATGAGGCAGTCCAGTCCCTGTGACCAGGAGTCAGTGGTATAGTCTGGCTATAGGGAGCTGAATGGGGGTGGGGGGAGAGGGGAGAGCCATTCTTGAAATGTTAATAAGAGACAAAGAGCATACATCTGAGCCTAGGTACATAGGATGCAAGCTGGCTACAGGGCTCAGTAAAGTCTGGAAGGTCAAGGGAAATTTCCCCTCCCAAGATTGAGGGCCAGGATCACAATGCTTCTGGTAGCTGCTGACAAGTAAGTGAGATCAAGGGTACAACAGGTTTGTCCCCACAGTATTATTTCAGTGAGTTGGAGCCTAGCCAGACAGGTTTTCTACTGTCCCCTCAAGTGTCTGCTAGATATAAAGCTTTGGGGTTAAGGGTAAGGTGACCAGACATCCTGCTTTTTGTGGGACAATGCCGCTTTTTGGAAAGAATGCACAAGCTAGGGAAGGGTCTATTTGGTCTATATAGACCAAATTTTTAATCAAAATCCCCCCACCCCCACCTCCTGGTCAATGGTGTCCCGCTTTAAATCTGGTCACCTTAGTTAAGGGGTGAGTCCAGCTTTGCACTGGGATATGGTTGACCGAAGCTGACATTCCCATCAGAGTGACCAGGGGACCTGTATGCTGGAAGAGATTGACTCCACAACATGGGCACAGCCTCCTGGGCATGAGGCCAAGACAAGTGAGCGGGGCTAGAGGGGCTCACCTCTCCAGGCCAAGGTTGGCAGAACTGGGGCTCTGGCAAATAGCTCTTGCCTCTTGGAGGCCACCAGCCCCTCAGCTAAGAAAAGCTGGCAGTCCCTGGGCACAATGGCTTGGCAATGCTGGGCCTAGGGAATTACCTATGTTCAATACCTCCTGCTTCTAAGAGGGCCTAGTGGCCACAGTAGTGAGAGGCTGCAAAGAAACGCATGTGTAAAATCAGAGCTCATGGCCTAGTTAGCTCTGGTACCTCAAGTGTATTTGCTCCGGGGCATCACCCATCCCCAGATAGGCTCCATCTCCTGACTGCCCCAAAATACTGCCTGAGGGATAACACACCCTGCTTTAAGAAGTTTGTGCATTTCTTCATGCCCACTGTGTGTGAGCACCTGGGCTTAGGAGCACTAATGCTGGGACACAAAGGGTTTTGTGATGGTCAAGAATGGCTGCCCCGCCCAACAGGGAAGGTGCTAAGGGGAGAGAAACTTTAAGCCAACATATCTAGAAATGTGACACTTTATTATATAAAAACACTTTTCCAAAGGCTATGCTTCTAATCCATTAAATGGGCAGCAATGAGGAGAACCAGTGGGTCTTCAATGCCTGATGGGGGGCAACAGCTAAGGCCTTCGCTAGAGGATGTTCTGGGGCTGGTTGGGTGTCAAGATACCCTGTGAGTCCACAGGCCCGGTGTCATAGCCCAGCTTCTTCATGTCCTTGGTGACCACGTTGAAGAGGAGGGTGATGAAGCCTTGGGAGCGGACTCGAGTCACTGGGGACAGAGGGTGGCATGTCAACAGGGCCAGGGCAGTGGGGGGTGGGCGTGGGGTGGAGGGGCTAATAAATGCTCAATCTCGGTGCTCTCTTTTGTACCATGAGGCAACAAGATGGGGATGGGAATGATCATGGAAGACCCCTGGTGCCCACACCTGGAAAATACAATAAGGGAAATTCCTGGGACCCTTGCCCATATGGCAACAACTTCCATATACCCATCCCTGTTATTCACCCGCCGACTATTTCCTTGGGCCACTAGCTCCTGCCTAGACTCCAACATGACTATAAAGTGGGGGCTTAGGATGTCAAACTTTACCTTCTCGGCCTTCACCCTGAGCCACCACCTTGGGGTCTGTGTACTCTGGCCGCCGTCCCATGAACCAGCTAGGAAAACAGGACATAAATGGAGTGAGCAAGGACCCTGGTCTAAAGTCCACTGGACATGGGTTCTCTCATAATCTCAGAAACTGGTAATCCCCCAATCCTAACCTGCCTGCATCTACCCTTTCTACTCATCTGAAATGTGGGTCAACCAGAAACAGGAGCCTGCTGGGTTTGGCTGTGGTGCTCCCAAGCCTCATATGTCCCACAGGCCCAACACTAGCTTTTCTCCACTGCCCTACCTCCTGACCTTTCCCCAGGCCCTGTCTTTACCCGCCACTTCCTTCAGTTGAATGCTCAGTTTTCCCACTACCATCCTCTTTGTGGACTCACTATGGATACCGAGTGTGATGCTGGGCTAGGGTCAGGTTCGACCTAAACTCAAGTGGAAATCCCAGAAAGGTGACAAAACTGAAGCAAAGGAGAGTGACAAAGAGAAGCAGGGACACTGTTAGGCAGGCTACCAGCTAAGCTTGGTAGACTCCAGCTTACCCTGAAAGGTCAGCCAGTTGTGGGCAGATTTGGGATTAGATATGGGCTCCCTACCTTTGCTTTTTTATAGTATGAGACCCAAAGCAGGTCATTTTTCCATTTTGGAACCCTAACAGTCTGTGAAATTGGGTGGGGTGTGCGTGAATGGTGGCATCTGTCTCATGAGTGAAGCTCCTCTGTAGCCTGCCACTAAAAACACTGACTTCACCACCCAAAACTCACCCGGGATACCCCTACCCATGGATCATATCACATCACTGACTACTTTTATACTCTAAAGGCCACAATCCATCAACGAGAGCTGGCTCACTTAGTTCTTGGTCACAGAGGTTCAGGGAAGGTCCAGGATAGCAGATGTTACCCAGCCCATGGAAGGCAGACCCTTTTTCAGAGCAGTGCCATACTTCTCGCATAACCAAGCCAGAAAAATATAGGTGCACTATCCTAAAGGCTTGGTCTTCCTGTCTGGGGCTGGTGTCAGGGTCTCTGAGGTGAACAGTGCCATCTGGCACAAGGGCTGCTAAGTTTCTGGAAAATAACCTCAGGTTCTTCTGCGTACCCCTCCAAGCCCTGGCCTTGTGTGGGAGCAGCTCCCCAACATCCCATTAGCAAGTTCCTGCCAGGGCACTCTTCTGACCCAGGAGTCAGTGCAGGCAAGGGGTCCCCTGGGAGATGCAGCCCAGAGGGCTCCAGGGGGAGTGAGAGTGGGACCAGGCCCCCGGATAGTGCACCTTGCCTGTACCTTACTTCCAAACATCCCTGTCCAACTGGCAGGGAGCCTGGGAGGTGGCAGAACTCCAGCAACAGTCCTCTGTGTCATCCCTCTGTCACCCTGAGATGTGCCTAGTGGTTTGCATCAGGGGAAGGACATGGCCTACCTTGTTGCTATGAGAAGACTACACTGGAGAGGCTATAATGGGCTGCATGATTGCCCCAAGTCCTAATTCTTAGAGTCTTTGAATATGACTTTATTTGGATAAAGGTCTTTGGAGGTAGTCTTAAAAATCTTGATATGGGAAGATTATCCTGGATTTTTACAGTAGTCCCTAAAGTAATCACAAGTGTTTTATAAGAAAGAGGCAAAGAAAAATTTGATACAAAAGAGCCATGTGACCATGGATGCATAGATTGGAATGATGTGGTCACAAGTCAAGGGACACAGAAGGTGAGATTCTCCTCTAGAACCTTTGGAAGGAGTCCTGCTGACACTGCACATTTTGGCCAATGGGGTTTTACTACTGGCTCCACGAACTCTAAGAATACATTTTGTTTAGTTGTGGTAGTTTGTTACAGTAGCCAAAGAAGTTACAAAGTCAAGAATGGAGATGGACAGGCTGGTCAGGGTACAAAATGGACTGGGAGAAGCGTGTGAAGAGAAGAAAGTTTCTGGAGGCAGGATGAAGAGGAAGTTCTAGAGTAATGTTTCCCAAATGAGTGATACCATCCCCTGGATGGCACTTCAACAAAGAAGGGTGACTGTACCACCTAGAGTCTAGACTTGAAGTCTACAGGAGGGCTTCTTAAGCTTTCTCCACTTGCAATTCTTTTTTGTCCAAGAAATTTGCAACATTGGGCAAGCACTTGCAGAAGCACTTCCGATTCATTACACATTCAAAAACCTTTTACAATTGCTAAATTTTCCATAGACCCCCACATTCATATATGAAACCCAATTTAAGCAGCTTTGGTCTAGCGCAGTGTTTCCCAAACTGGAGCGTGCTTAAACAATCCAGCAGGGCTGCAAAATCAGATACCTAAATTTTATCCTGGATTATGGGCTATAGTACAAAGGTTTTTAATTACCGGGGGTGGGGGGTGGGGTAGGCTCACTGGAAAAGGGAGTGGTAGGCCAAGTAAGTTTGGGAAACTGCTCTAGAGCAGTGGTTCTCAACCTTCCTAATGCTGCAACCCTTTCATACAGTTTATGTTGTGATGACCCCCCCCAACCATAAAATTATTTTCGTTGCTACTTCATAACTGTCATTTTGCTACTGTTATGAATCGGCCAACCCCTGTGAAAGGGTTGTTCAACCTCCAAAGGAGTCACCACCCACAGGTTGAGAACCGCTGCTCTAGAGGGTGGCATTTAGAGAAGAGGCACCTAGGTTCTAGTCTGAATCTACAGGGTACCAGAATGTCAAGAAGGCTGAAATGTGCAGGTTCCACCTGAGTCTAGAGTCCACTACTCACTCTGATAAGACGTCATATCTGAGATGATGTCCATTAAACTGCCTTTGTGAATCACGTTCCCCATGTGGTACCCACACCCCCCACCCCTTATCCAAGGAAGACTGTTTTCATAGGGCTTGCCACACCCTCCGCACCATACTTGCTGTGTCCGGCACAAACAATGCCTTCAAGAATGAGGGCTCACTTGTCTACCAGTAAAACCCTTTCCTCAGTGAGGTTTTATGTGAGCCCAAACTGGGCCCCACATCACATCTCCCAGTAGTGCAGTTTGGGCTCAAATGGGACTGCAGCCTTTTAAAGCCCTCCCCAACCCCTATCCTCTCACATACCACCTCACCGTCTCTGACAGCCCTAGGGGATGCGTATTATCCCATCCCAGACACTTGAGCTGAAGCCAGTGGGGAGGGACAGTGCTGTCACTTCCATTCCAGGTCTCAGTGATCAATGGGGTTGGCCTTGGTGCTTATGCTATGCTCCCCTCCCTAGCTGGAACTGGCCCTGGTAGGCCCTGTTTCCCTGGTCCTGATAGCCAAACCCCATCTTAGCTGCACTGTTGGAAAACTGATGGAACCACAACTTGGATGTGTTAAGAGGTGAGAGGTGTTTCAGCTCAGTCTTTCTTTACTCTTACCTTTGAAGCATTTGTAGCTGGTCCTGGTGGCCTACTCCTGTTCTGCCTCCGATTTCTCCCATCCCACATCACCTACTTGACACATCAGCCATCTTGCTTTTCCTGACATCCTAAATATATTCTCTACTTTGTTCATGTGGATTTCTATGCCTACAATGTTCTTCCCAGGGCTGGCCCCGTAAATGTCCTCTAATCTTGGCTCAAATGTTACCTGCTTCACTTGTGACCTTCCCAGAGGCCTGCTTCACTTGTGACCTTGACCACGTACTTCTCTGAGCCTTACTCTCCTAGTGTCGATGCCACTGTGTCAATTCATCGATTTAATTCCTCTTTTTCACTGACCCAAGCATGATGTCTTTCTGCAGGAACTAGTCCCACCTGATAACAGGTCCAAAGTCCATGAGAAAAAGTATCACTCTCCTGGCTTCTAAGGAGAATCCCAGCTGCACTACTTCCAAGACACTTGTTTGTTCTGGCACTCCATGGCACTTTCAGTTTCCCTTACCAACACTGTAATTCAAAGACATCAATTCTTCTCCAATCTTCTCTATTCATTGTCAGCTTTCACATGCACATGCTGGGGTTAACTATACATGGTTGTGTTCAGAAGTGCCTTAAATCTTCACCTTGACTTCAAATTGACATCTTTGTTCTTTGATGTCCTGACTGCTGCTTTCATAGCACTGATTGTGGATCCAAGCAAAATAAAATCCGTGACTTCATTCTTTCTCCATTTAACATGCTGTTGTTTATTAGTTTAGTTGTTAAGGATTTGGGTTTTCTTTACATTGAGTTGTAATCTGTACTGAAGGCTGCAGTCCCTGATCTTCATCAAATGCTTCTAGTCCTCTTGGCTCTCAGCAAACAAGGTTGTGTCAACTGTGATCATAGATTGTGAAGGAGACTTCCTTCAATCTTTATGCTGTATTCTTCAGATATGTTCTTTAGTGATTTGTTTAGTGTACAGATGGAATAAATATGGTGAGAGGATACAACGCACGCCTTTTTTTTTTTTTTACTTTAAACTATTCTTGTTCTGTTAAAAGGAATACCTCTTGGTATTGGTCAAGGGAGAGGGAGAGCTTCCACATGACTTCAATGAAATGTTCTAGAATTCCCATTCTTTTCAATGTTATTCATAGTTTGCTTGATCCATATGGTCAAATGCTGTTGCATAGTCTATAAAACACAAGTAAACATCATTCTGGTATTTTCTGCTTTCAGTCAAGAGCCATCTGACACCAGCAATGATATCCCTTATACTGAATCTGGGTTGAATTCTGGCAGCTCCCCACTGATAATACTACTGAAATCATTTTTTAATTATCTTCAGTAAAATTTACTTGCCTGTGATATGGCTACTGTTTAATTCCATAGCCCACTGGGCCACTTTCTTTGAATTCTTTTTGACATGCTGACTCTGTGTCTTCTTTCTCTTCTTTTCCTTTTGCTGTTTATCATCGTGTTTCATATTTTGCTTAAGAATTCTTCAATATTGCAACTTGAGTGAAATTTTCAGTTCCTTCAGTTTGAGAAATACTATGTGTTCCTTTTGTTTTTAACTCCAGGTCTTTGTATATCTCAATTCAATAGTTTGTCTTCTGAAGTGCTATTTGAAATTTTCTATTGAGCTGTTTTACTCCATCATATTTTCTGTTCACTTCAGCTATTCTATGTTCAATACCAAGTTTAAGTTTTTTTCTGACATCTACTTTCCACTTTGATGTTTTCTTTCTTTCCTGTCTTTTTAATGTTTTGCTTTCTTCATGTATGATGTTCTTGATGTCATCCCACAACTCGTCTGGGCTTTGGTGTTCAATGTTATGAAATCTGGTTTTTAAATTGTGATGCTGTGGTTTATGCATTGAACTAATAGCCACAAAGTCAGTGATTCAAAGTCACTAACTGCTCTGCAGAAGAAAGAGGAGGCTGCCAATTACAAGTTTCAGAATCCCTATATGGAGTCACTGTGAGTAAAAATTGACTCCATAGCAGCAGTTTGCGTTTGAGTTTTTTATGTTTAAGATTTTATTTGGACTCTTGTGAATTGTTTTAACTTTTGTCAGCTTCAACCTGAACCTGCATATAAGCAATTGATGGTCTGGTCAAAAATAGATGCTGGCCTTGTTTTGGTTAATGACATTGAACTTCTCCAATGTCTCTTTCCACAGATGTAGTCGATTTGATTCCTGTGTATTCTATCTAGTGAGGCCCAACTGAGTAGTGTATGTTGTTGAAAAATATTATTTAGAACAAAGAAGATGTTGATCTTTCAAAATTCTATCATGTGGTCTACAATGTCATCTCTATTACCAAACCTATATTTGGCAACTACTAATCATTCCAAATTTTCACATTCCAGGCAGCAGTTCATCTTGATGCAGTCAATGCATCTTGACTGCATTTTTTAGCAATTTTAGAGGTTGGTAGAGCTCTTCAGTGTCTTTTTGGGGGCTTGGTACATAAATTTGAATAATAGTCATATGAACTGTTCTTCTTTATAGGCATATTATCCTATCACAGACAGTACTGTACTTTATGACAGGTCTTGGAATTTTCTATTTGACAATGAACTTGATGCCATTCTTCTTTGTCATTCTCAGCATAATAAACCATGATTGTCTAATTCAAAATGACCAATTCCAGTCCATTTCAGCTCAAGAATACCTAGGGCATTGATCTTTATGCATTCTATTTAATTTTTGATGTCTTCCAATTTTCCTAGATTTATACTTCCTATATTCCACATGCCAATTATTGTTTTCAGCTGTTTCTTCTCATTGGAGTCATACCACATTAGCAAGTGATAAGCTTTGCTCCACATATCATTAAGGTTGATACTACTTTGTGGAGGCATCTATCCCATCATATTTTGAGTGCCTTGTAACCTAATGCTAAAGATTTCATCTTCCAGCACTATCTCAGACAATTTCCCACTGCTTTTCAGACGGTTTTCAGTGACCCTGCTGGTATTTTAAATACTGGTGGCATAGCTTCCAGCATCACAGCAACTTGTAAGCCACCAAGTACAACAAATTTACAAGTGATGGATGTAACCATTGCTGAAACCCTGGTGGGGACTGAGCATGGTAGTGGGACAGGAGGAAAGTCAAGGGAAATAGAGGAAAGAGCTGGGAAGCAAAGGGCATTTATAGAGGTCTAGATAAAGACATGTACATAGGCAAATATATTTATATATGAGGATGGGGAAATAGATCTATGTGCACA